TTTTCTGTATTCTTGTGTTACAATACAATGGAAACATTCCAGTTAGACGAAATTTGATGCGCTTGTTGAGTTATAGATGGTTTCGACAATATCATCGAACGTGAAAGTGCTGGGAATAAACACCAAAATCGAGTCGAGATAAGTAAATTCGCGTACCGGTCGGCCTAATTTATTGATGTTCAAGGAAATAATAGTGGTCCCATTCGTTCGTTATTATGTTAAACAGATTAAATGTTAAAAAAATAATGTCACTGCTGTGTAGTCATTAATATGTCTTTGCTACTGGCCTTAATAATATTTCTTAAAATATTTACATACCTTCTTGTAGTCTCTTTTAGCCTTTTCTGACATCAGTATAATTGCCAAAGGAACCGGCTTGATGTTGTCACCAGATTTTAAGAAACCAAGTACTGATAACAGTTGATAAAATGTATTGTTCACTATCCTAAAAGTCCTGTGCTGCCATCGTTCACATCCATCGCACTGAACAGCCTCCTGTCTTGGGCGAACAACTGACTCACAAACTATACAGCTATCAGACATTTTGAAAAATGATAATAAATTATTTGATTTCAGTATTTTTATACCAAACCCCAGCTTTGACACTTATTCAAATCACTTTAATTAACATTTTAATATTTGTCTTTGAAGTGCTTTATCATTTTAATTAGCTTCTAATACGGGTAAATACTACTACTCAGTTTAGTTAATCGATGTTTTTTGTTAATTAATTTTCATTGAAGTGCTCCAATCTGTTAAAACAACAAAGTACTAAAACAGTAATACAAACAGTAATCATCAATTTATTACAACAACAATATCAATTTGATTAAAAGAACAATATCAATTTGATTAAGATAACAAAATCAGATTGGTTTTGGTCTGAGTGGTCTTCAAAGAAAGCAATTGTATTAAAACAAGCACTTATATTTTATTTGTTGGGATGAGTTGTCTTATAACTTGAGTCTCTACCCATGGTTTAAAGTTGGGATGAGTAGTCTTTTATATTGGGATGAGTTGTCTTTTATATTGGGATGAGTTGTCTTTTATATTGGGATAATAATAATAATATAATGAATTTATAAAGCGCCTGCATTCCAGTAAAAATTACTGCTCCGCGGCGCTATTACATTTTGTAAAAATGGTAGATGCAGAATAAATAAAAATGAATAGTACATATAATCACAGAAAATTTAAGAAATATGAAGTTATTAAAACGACAGCGCAAGCTAAAAAGTTCGGTTATTAAAAGTCATCACAATCGCTACATAAAACTTTGTTAACAAGTGCAATTTTTAAAAGTCATCACAGACACTCCATAAAACATGGCTTAAAAGTTGATTTTTAAAAGTTATCACAATCACTACATGAAACTTTGCTTAAAAAGTTCTGTTTTTAACAATTTTTTAAAAGTTACCAGGGATTGCGAGTTTTTTATGTGTTCGGGTAGAGAATTCCATAACATTGGTGCAGCGTAAGCAAAAGATCTCTGACCGTAGGACGATTTGGTTTTTGGTTGTACCAGTAAATTGTTATTCTGGGATCTTAGAGTTCTAGTTGGAGTGTATCGATGGAGTAGAGATTGAAGATAGTGTGGAGAGTCTTCAGAATGGAGAGCCAGGTACGTTAAGGAGAGGATTTTAAAGTTGATACGCGATTCAATAGGTAACCAATGTAGATTCTTTAATACTGGAGTAATATGATCACGTTGTTTGGTTCTTGTTACAATACGGGCTGCCTTATTTTGGATCTTCTGTAGCTGATTTATTTGATATGAGGGGAGATTAAACAGAATGGAATTGCAGTAATCAAGACGAGATGTTACAAGTGAATTGACTAACAGTTTTGCTGTTTTTAGATCAATAAAGTTTCTAATCCGACCGATGTTAAAAAGATGGTAATTAGTTGATTTACATATCATTGAAACATGGTGTTTAAAATCAAAGTTACAATCTAACTGTACACCAAGGTCACGAACATCATTTTTCCCCCATAGAGCAATATCACCGATATTGATTGGTAGTTCGTCTATTTGCGATCTCCTAAACTTACTTCCGATCGTTAATACCTCTGTTTTTTCGTCGTTTAGTTTAAGAAAGTTGGTGGACATCCACTTTTTTATTGACTGAATGCAGAGTTGTAAATTATATATTTCATCTTTTTGAGTACCTTGTTTAAATGCAATATAGAGTTGTGAATCATCGGCATATAGATGATAATCAATACCAAATTCTTTGATCAAGTCTCCCAGAGGTGAAGTATAGGCTGTGAAAAGGAGAGGACCGAGTACAGAACCTTGTGGAACACCGTAACATAAATTCACAGGTTTTGATTTTTGATTATTGATTTTTACGGATTGTGTTCTTCGACTTAGGTAAGATTTGAACCATTCTAATGCCAAACCCCTGATACCAAATCTGTCATGAAGTCGTTTAATAAGTACATCCTGATCAATAGTGTCAAATGCAGCACTAAGATCTAATAGAACAAGTTTCACAACGTTTTTATCATCCAGTTTTAAGAGAATGTCATTACAAACGCGGACCAAGGCCGTTTCTGTGCTGTGTAGACTTTTATAGGCCGACTGAAATCTATCATTTAAATTATTGCGTTTTAGCTTTTGTTTAAATTTTATAGAAACAACTTTCTCAATCAATTTGGAGGCAAACGATAAATTAGACACAGGTCTATAGTTTTTAAGAATATTTTTGTCAAGGTTCGATTTTTTCAATAATGGCCTAACTTCAGCTTCTTTTAAGACTGTTGGAAAAATACCAGACATCAACGATGCATTAACAATGGAGGTTAGAATGGGTAGAATTTCGTCCAGACATGATTTCAGCAAGTGAGTCGGAATTGGATCTAAACCACAAGACGATGATGAGGAATTGATTATTATTCTTTTCAATTCAGATGAGGAAACTTCATCAAAAGAAGAGTAACTACATGTATCTACATTCAGCAATGTTGTTTCTGAATCTGAACTACAAAAGTTTGAATGCAATTTTTCTGACTCAAGATTTGTTCGAATTCCTTCTATTTTGTCAACAAAAAAGTTGGAAAAGGATTCGGTAAGACAGACAGTACTCTACATTCAGCAATGTTGTTTCTGAATCTGAACTACAAAAGTTTGAATGCAATTTTTCTGACTCAAGATTTGTTCGAATTCCTTCTATTTTGTCAACAAAAAAGTTGGAAAAGGATTCGGTAAGACAGACAGTACTCTACATTCAGCAATGTTGTTTCTGAATCTGAACTACAAAAGTTTGAATGCAATTTTTCTGACTCAAGATTTTTTTGAATTCCTTCTATTTTGTCAACAAAAAAGTTGGAAAAGGATTCGGTAAGACAGACAGTACTCTCAGTGTCTGGAAGATCCAATGAACTGTCAGATGACTTTATAAGGCCGTTTATAATGTTGTATATCTCCTTTGTATTTTCTGAATTTACAGTGATTTGATCAAGGATGAATTTACGTTTCAATGTTTTGATTAAATTATTTGTTTCGTTTCTAGATTTAATGTATAATTGGCGATGGATTTCAAGTTTAGTCCTGCGCCAAAGTGCTTCAGCAGTTTTACGTCGTAACTTACTTTCGCGAGCTTCATCATTGAACCATTTCCTGTTTGGTCTGAGTGTAATATTCTTTTGAAGAGATGGGGCATGTTTATCAAAAATTTCCCAAAGTACAGAATTATAAAGATGTATTTTCTTGTCGACACTATTTTCGTTCTCAATCCTTTCTAACAATGAAGAACATATTATATCCTGCTTGAGCTCTTTAACGTCAATGTTGCGAATCTTTCTAAAAGTTATTAGCCGTTTTAAAGCCTTGGGTTTTGAAACGGTAAGATCTGTAAAAACACAGAAATGGTCAGATATACACTTGTTTTCAACATGCAAATTTTCGATAAGATCATCAGAAGATTTTGTAATTATAACATCTAGCAGGTGGCCTTTGGAGTGTGTTGCGTTCTTTACGTGTTGTACCAGATCAAAGGTATTTATAATTTCAGAAAACTGACTTTGAGCTTTTTCATTAGGTTTGTCAAGATGAATATTAATGTCGCCTACCAGAAGTAAAAGCCCCGGTGATGACGAGAGATCATGCAGGAGGTCTGTTAATTCCACACAAAACGAATCATAAGATGAATAATTAGAATTTGAAGGTGGTGGTCTATATATACAAACAAGTTTCACTAATTCATTATTCAATTTGATTAACACATGGAGGATTTCAAAACTTTTGAAAGAATGAGATTGAATAACCGAAGTGTTAATCGATTTTTTATGTATCACTGCAATCCCCCCTCCTCTGCGTTGTATAGGACAATTCCATAATCCAATGGAAGTAGGTCATTTATTACAGTGTCATCATTAGATTTTAACCAAGTTTCCACAGCCACAAATATATCAAGATCATTATCAATTAGAAACTCATTATGTTCACTGGTTTTATTACGAACTGATTGACAGTTAAGTAAGCAGAATTTGATGTTGGATTTTGAGATAGTTTTACTATCATGGTTTAAAATCGGATATCTTAAGTTATTAAAGTTAACTCCTCTTTTGTTTGTTTTCCTTGGCTTACTAGTTATTTTTACTCGAATGTTTTGATTTGTGTGCTGAAATGTATTCACCTCCTTAGTATCTACTGCACTAAACAATTCAGGGAAGTTGAAAAGAACTTGATCGTTACAAAGTTGAGATGATCGAAGCTCACCAATTGACATGAGTTTTTCTCTACTATATGTGATCATTGTCATATATTGTTCAACCAATTTAAAGTAATTGATATATCTTGTAAATCACCAAATAAAATAACACAGTTGTCAGTAAAACCAATTCCAGAATATAAGACACAACTCTGGTGAAAATCTAGGTAGCTAAACTTCAGTAAAACACACTAAAATATCAATAAAAGTGAGAGCCAAAACACAGTGCAACCCTCAGGTAGCCATCTTGAATCAAAGTTGTCTTTTATATTGGGATGAGTTGTCTTATATTGGGATGAGTTGTCTTTGGGATGAGTTGTCTGTATACAATATACCTATTCATCTATATATTTTAAAATTAATTACTATTATTAGTTTTGTTGTATGATCTATTCTATGCCTACATGTACCTGCATTTGTTTTGATTAGTAGACAGCGCTACCAACTCCTTTTTGCGTCCTGTACACTTAAGATTTTGCTTTTCAGGTATTCTTTAAGTGCATCAACCTTCCAGGTCTCTATCACATCGTATGAAATATCCTCCATCCTTAAAATAACAGTAAAATCGGCGTTTTTCGCAATTTGGTCAGAGAAATCCCATGCATAGCAATGGCGGCCTCCTCGTGAGTTTGCTCACGGATCTCCCACAATGCAACAGCGCGACGCCATTTATTTTGAATGGGTGATTCCTGTACACGTGTCCGTCCGGATAACCGGAACTACTTCCACCTATCCACGAAGTCCCGAGTTACCAGCGAGATTTAACCTATATATTGCAGTTTTGCCTTAGCTGCGGCTCAGATTAAGCTTTAGACTTCAAATAGATAACCTTGTTATTATTGCAGGCGCCTTGGAACACCAAGTGGGACTTGGTACTTTTATTTGAAGATACATTATGGGAGATAAGGTAAAGAGATGGCAGTTCTCGCTATAATAGTTAAAAACTAAATAGTGTAAAGGTAATTTGCTGAAAATTTCAGTCAAATTGATCCACTATGAACCGAGAAAGAAGCGGGTGAAATTTTTGCATAGTCTTGGTCATCATTACTAAAATCATTAATATAAACAGCATAGTCTCAGTTATCCACTTTTTTTGATTTAATTATCAACGGCCGTTAGCGGCATATAAGAATCTAATCCAGCCAACATCGAAGGCTAGCCTTGACATCGAGAGTTTATTATGGTCTGGATAAGTTAATTAATGTCTAATTGATAATTAAGATAACATTTCAGGCCTAAAGAAAGACTTGTAATAAGCAGATTTTGCTCTTGCATAATGCATGTTTAACAAGGGGAGAAGGATACAATATATATTGCTTTGTACTAGTACTCTAATCGAATAGATAGATTGAAACTTTATTGAGCGAGTTGCATGCGCGGCTCTAGTTCAGCTCTGAACGTAGGTCTCATTTCACTCGGCCTGTACGTTCAAAAACTCTTCTATTGAATCCTTGTTGAAACTGAGATCCGCCCCAGTCAATCTTACTGGGCAACTTTTTGCTGCTAAACGATCGCGTGTCAGTCCCCTTCAACGCCTGAACAATGTAAATGAACACCTTAGTGAGAATATAAGACCTTGCCTACCTCGCTAGAACCAGTATGAGCGACACAACACTCTGTTAAAAAGTACGTCTCCGTCTTCTAACCAACTTGGTGGACTTCATTGAAAGGGTAACGTACAAATTTATGAACTCGGCCACAAATTTATGAACTTGGCTGCCGAGTAATGTCCATCAAAAAGTAATCTAATTATCGTAATTAGTCTCTGTGTTTTGTTGTTTTTCCGTAGTTGAAAAAATGAAGACTGACTGCAGATGATCAAATCTATTTATATTCGTGGGGTTGGATGGTCGAATGGTTAGCATGTGCGTGCTGTATCATAAGGCCTGTCATTGAGTCAACTGGTGTGGTTTCGAATCCCCGGTTGTACGTGACAAGGAGTAGGGTCGCCTGTCCAACCTCGTGGGTTTTCTCCGGGTCCTCCCACTGCTAAAGACCCCTACGCGCAAGCGAATTATTGAAATAAAATTAAGCCATATGTTATTCCCGAAATGGTTAGCATGTGCGTGCTGTATCATAAGGCCTGTCATTGAGTCAACTGGTGTGGTTTCGAATCCCCGGTTGTACGTGACAAGGAGTAGGGTCGCCTGTCCAGCCTCGATGGTTTTCTCCGGGTCCTCCCACTGCTAAAGACCCCTACGCGCAAGCGAATTATTGAAATAAAATTAAGCCATATGTTAGTCCCGAAATGATCTAGTTTGTGTCGAGTGGACGTTAAACCCCCATTTCTCTCTCTCTCTATTTATATTCCAGCGTAGGGCTGACCTTAAAAATATCTTTGTTTTGCCCAACGCGACCGACTAACTAAAACCACTCCCGACTTAAATTATTTTATTGCACTTTTCCGCGATCTTTTTATTTTATTTTGTGTGTCAACCTGAAATATATCACAAGAGTTATTTCCCTTTACTATGGCTATGGTTTGATTCATTATTGAAACTGGTTGATCAAGACGAAGGCGTCATAGGTGTCGCTTCTCAACAAAATGGTTGCAGACGATAAGCACGTCCATTCCCACGAAATGATTCTGCCTCTTATGTCTGTGGGGCGTCGTTTTAAACATGACGACGATATTTTCAATATCCGTTTTCGAGAAAAATGAAGGCACAACCCGCACGATCGTTAAAAATGTGTTGAGGGAGATTCAAACGTGAGTTTGAGGCAATTCGTGTGCGAGTCGTGCATCACGAAAAATCCCGATGTCATTGATTTGTTTGCCAATAAATAAGACGAATGTTTGCACCCGGAAAATTATCAAGCTGTCAAATTAGCTCTTAAAAAACACAATCTGAAAAAAAAAAACGACCTACCGACCCTTCTCCTCGATTGTGGGTCGGGTTTGGTGAAACAACGATATTTTTAAGGTCAACCTAGTAATACAGGAACTTTGTTGTTGTGTAGTTTGGTTAGGTTTGGTCTGTTATAGTCCTGGCTTTTGAAACGGGGCCTTGTTCAATAGACACCGTATGTAGTCACATCCTGTCTTATCCCTGGCTAAAACTGATGTACTATTTAAGGTTTTACACAAGTGGAGCCACAGTGGCTAAGTGGCTAAGATGAGGTCCTGTGTATGGTGTATGGCCGTCTTCATTAGCACACTGTATGGCGCATGTCTGTCATCAGAACAGTAGGACCTTAAAACCCATTTCATTTTAAATAACTTTTGTATTACAGGAAACCAATAATTCTATATTACAGGAAGCTATTGATGTTATAACTTTTATATATTACTGGAAACTAATGGTGTTATAACTTTTATATATTACAGGAAACTAATGGTGTTATAACTTTTATATATTACAGGAAACTAATGGTGTTAAAACATTTATATATTACAGGAAACCGATGATAATAAAATACATGTTAAGGATTGGGTAAAAGATGATGTCGATGAATATTGTCACATTAAAGAAGAGAAAACTGATGATGTAGTTGGATATTGTCATGTTAAAGAAGAGAAAACTGATGACGTAGATGAATATTGTCATGTTAAAGAAGAGAAAATTGATGATGTAGATGAATATTGTCATGTTAAAGATGAGAAAACTGATGATGTAGATGAATATTGTCATGTTAAAGAAGAGACAACTGATGATGTAGATGAATATTGTCACATTAAAGATGAGGATACTGATGAATTAGATGGATATTGTCATGTTAAAGATGAGAAAACTGATGATGTAGATGAATATTGTCATGTTAAAGATGAGAAAACTGATGATGTAGATGAATATTGTCATGTTAAAGAAGAGATAACAGATGATGTAGATGGATATTGTCATGTTAAAGAAAAGAAAACTGATGATTTTGATGAATATTGTCATGTTAAAGAAGAGAAAACTGTTGATATTGACCCAGTTTATCAGTGTAATTTATGTGATGAAGAATTTAAATCAGATACTGATTTAGAGAAACATTGTAAAATACATGTTAAAGAAGAGTTGAAAGCCTTTGGTGGTAGTATAGGCCTACAATCAGCTGACAGTCATGCTGTAGCAAAACGTTTTAAATGTGATGTTTGTTTCAAATCCTTTACTTGTAGGCGTAATCTACAGACACACATTAGGGTTCATACTGGTGGAAAACCTTATAAATGTGATGTTTGTAAGAAGTCATTCATCGATCATAGCGCTTTACAGCAACACATTAGAAGTCATAGTGGAGATAAACTTTATAAATGTGATGTTTGTAGTAAATCATTTGCAACTAAAAACTCTTTACAGGTACACATGAGAATTCATACTGGTGGAAAACCTTATAAATGTGATGTTTGTTGTAAATCTTTAACAACTAAAAACTCTTTACAGGTACACATGAGAATTCATACTGGTGGAAAACCTTATAAATGTGATGTTTGTTGTAAATCTTTAACAACTAAAAACTCTCTACAGCAACACATGAGAATTCATACAGGTGAAAGGCCATTTAAATGTGATGTTTGTAGTAAATCATTTAGACGTAGTTATAGTTTACTGCAACACGGGAAAACTAAATGTGAGATAATTAAACTTCATAAACCAATAACAATTCATACTGGCGAAAAATCTTATTATCAATGTAATGTTTGTAGTAAATCGTATGCTGACGCAAGTAATGTACGCAAGCACATGAGAATTCATAGTGGTGAAAAGCCTTATCAATGTAATGTTTGTAGTAAATCGTATTCAGACGGAAGTAATTTACGCAAGCACCTGTTAATTCATACGGGAGAAAAACGGTTTCAGTGTGATGTTTGTTGTCAATCATTCACACAGAGCAGCACCCTACACAAACACATGAGAATTCATACTGGTGAAAAACCTTATAGATGTGATGTTTGTGGTAAATCATTTAGTCAGAGTAATGGTCTATACAAGCACGTGAAAATCCATGCTGGTAAAAAATCTTATATCTTTGGCGAATCATTGTAGTGGCCTACAGTCACACACAAGAACTCATAAAAAAGAAAACTGTTTTAAATGTGATGTTTGTAGTAAATCATTTCCTGCACAAGGTACTTGAAACAAACATATGATAATCCATTTGGAAATTAAATGAAATGAAATGGGGTTTAATGTCCTACTGTTCTGCTCCTAACCTGGGCTAATGAAGACGGGCATACTCCATACAGTGTGCTATGAGGGAAATTTCGCCCGGGCAGCGGCACTACGGCCTACTCTTATATCGAATTCCAACTGCCAAGGGATCTTTTACGTACATGCTAATGTGCACACAGGACTTCGGTTTTTCGTCCCATCCGAACGACTAGACAGTTGTCCTTGTCAGGCCCTAATCGATTTGGGGGAAGCCTCGTGAATGTTAGAAAACATACTGGAGAAAAAAAAACCCTTATATGGTTCAGTCACTTTTTTGAAAAATCGCAATATAGGCCTAATGATTTCCTTTTTGTGTAATTATATTTTATTTTAGATATTTAATGATATAAAAATGTCACCAACAAAATGCTGAAAATGAAGCATAAGAATGTAGAAACAATAGTCATCGATTTATATTTTAGTTTCATCCTTGGGGAGCCACTGTGGCTAAGTGGGTAATATGCTGGCATGCTAGTTTGGAGGTCGCGTGTTCGATCCCTGCATTGGCCAATAAAGATCGAGATTTGCCTGCGTGGTTTCACCTTGTTAGTTATGCATAACCGAGGGCCTGAGAAGCTACTCTTATATCAAATTCCAACTGCCAAGGGATCTTTCACGTACACACCAATGTATACACAGGTCCTCGGTTTTTTGTCCCATTCGAACGCCTAGACAGCTTTCCTTGTCAGGCCCTTTGTTCTGCACCATCTCCAGCGTCTTACCTACCAATCACCGTGGCTCCATCTTCAGACACACATGAAAATTTATACCGGAGAAAGAGAAATGAAATGAAATGGAGTTTAACGTCCTACTGTTCTGCTCCTATACTGGGCTAATGAAGATGGGCAAACGCCATGCAGTGTTCTATGAGGGAAATTTTGCCTGGGCAGCGGCACTATCGCCTACTCTTATATCAAATTCCAACTGCCAAGGGATCTTTTACGTGCATTCCAATGTATACACGGGACCTCAGTTTTTTGTATCAGCCGAAGGACTAGACAGCTGTCCTTGTCAGGCCCTCCGTCCTGCATCACTGACAAGGGGGAACCACGCCAGGAAATCTGGATGAACTTTCTCGGCCAATGCAGGGATCGAACACCCGACCTCCAGGCTAGCGAGCCAGCGTCTTACTCACTTAGCCACCGTGACTCCCCCGGAGAAAGAGGGATAAGAGAGAAATTGGGTTTAACATCCACTCGACACAAACTAGGTCATTTGGGGACTAACACGTTTCAACTTTGGGGACTAGGTAATTCGCTTGGACATAGGGTCTGTAGCAGTGGGAGGAAACCGGGGGACCCAGAGAAAACCCAGGAGGCTGGACAAGTAACCCTACACCTTGTCACGTATAACCGGGAATCGAAACCATGCCAGTTGACTCGATGACAGACTTTATGATACAACGTACACATGCGAACCATTCAACCCCCCCCCCCATTCAACCCCCCACCCCCTCATACAGGAGAACGACCATATAGATGTAATGTTTGTAGTATATCATTCACTCACAAAGATAACCTACGGATTGAGGGACCACCGGCATCAAATATTTGTGCTTTATAAACTGACCTGTTTTAACAGCCTGTTGCCCGCGCACGATGTATCATAAAGCCTGTCATTGAGTCAACTGGCATGGTTTCAAATTGCATGCCCCATTCTTTGAGCCAATGATTGACGCCGCAGGATGTGACGTCATATGTTGAAAACAGTCATCTTTTACAGTGACAACAGATTGATTTTGACCATTGCTGCTGAACTGATTTGAAAATAAAAATATTGATTTTCTTCTTAAGGCTTTTTTTTTTCTTTGCTGGTGTCCTGTGCTCAGTTTTGGATGTGTATAATTTTTATATTTTTCTGTGATTTTTACCGAAAACATAATAGGATTATCATAAAGGATGTTCAACATCTACAATATGAGTAGGCAAGCACTTTCTGCATATTGCATTTGTAAACCACAAAATTCTCCTTTAGTAGAGAGAGAGAGAGAGAGAAGAGAAGAGAAGAGAGAGAAGAGAAGAGAGAAGAGAAGAGAAGAGAGAGAAGAGAAGAGAGAGAGAAGAGAAGAGAGAGAAGAGAAGAGAGAGAGAGAGAGAGAGAGAGAAGAGAAGAGAAGAGAAGAGAGAGAGAGAGAAGAGGAGAAGAGAGAGAGAAGAGAGAGAGAGAGAAGAGGAGAAGAGAGAGAGAAGAGAGAGAGAGAGAGATAACTCTAAGCAGTGGGAGGATCCAGAAAACCCAGCAGGATGGTACAAACAGGAAATCGAAACCAACAGAGGAAATATTGATGCTGTTGAAATTAAATATAACAGTACCCCTTTCCCATTATTATAGACCCTCCCCCATTTAGATTATTATAGACCATACCTCCCCTGTATTTACATTATTACACCACCTTTTAGCGAATTCCTACTATATTATTTTAACAATGGTGGGCCTATATTATTTTAACAACAATAGCAAGCAAAGTAGAAACCATTCTATTATTCACAAAGTTATACTATTGCTCAGATTAGTATAATTTGAAGGAAATTTTTGCATATTTCTTCTTCATTATCTATTACGGTGAGAATGGACAGCCCTTGATCTAAATCATCCATAATGCGTCTTTAACTGTATTATGAAATATGAGTTGTTCAGGTTCAGTTGGTCTACGTCTCATATCAATATACAACCAACTCTCTGTTCAACCGGAAACGGACATGTATGACAGTGAACCAAGAAAGGGCAACACGAATAATTTATTGTGGATCTATTTATTGCAGTTTCACTTAAACAACTAATCCACCAAGTCATGGTCAGACCAGCTATAAATACACTTTGATATTAAAACGATGGTGAGTTTAATTTTGGAGAAGAATGTTCGATGTACCGTGTCCAATATTTACCTGGTATAGATGTTGTAGTAAACGTGACCTAGATTCTTCGTGGCCAGTCAACATGTATATGTATTCACCAATCTTATACACTACAAAAGCTAATCAGTAGGCACCGTCTATACACATACAAAATTATAGTCACATCCTTTGTTATACCCTACTATAGCTAATCAGGGATGTCAGCTGTTTCGTAACCTGGCTGTTTCGTACTTAGTTCATTCGTAACTCACATGAGTCGTTTCGTACCTTAGTTAATTTCAAGAGTACAAGAGAACTTTTACATGCACATTAGCCGTTTCGTATCTTCGTTAATTTCAACTTTTACTTGCACTTAAAGGAGCTAAGTCACTAATATTTGGGACCTAGAAAGTGAAACAAATGGGTCGCAACGCGTACAATAATGTAATATAAATGTATATAAATTGATTTACATTCAATCCTTTCTGTTTTTACTGTAATTTCTAATCAGTTAGGTTCAGTGACATACGCCAGTATTCTCAATCGAATTTCAATCTCTAGCTTCTGGTTATTCCAGTCTACACCGATAGTTTTTATTGGGCATGCCCTCCAGATATAGCGTCACCGTTTGACATGACTTGTGAAATATGCCTAGCCTCGTTTTTTGACTCCCTTATTACACATAGCGCTGAAACGCATTATGGTACACGATTCGTGTACCAATTGTTAAATGTTTATTTTGTCTTAAATATTGGATATCAGAAGGCCACCTTTTCCCGGTAAGATCACAACATCAATGTTGATTTAAACCGACAAATAAATCGTGTTTTCAATGTTGAAGATTTTGGATGATATTGAGTTAGAGACTTACTGCCTGTTCCAGGCGACACTACGACTCGAAAATTGCTTACTATTTCTTCATTTTTTAATTACAATGGTTAAAACTTCACGACCTACCTAGAATTGTCACCCCATTACTTTCTTCGTCGAACCTTAACGCCTATAAATTCGATAAAATCCTTTATTCTCTTGTAAATTTCACATTTTTCGACACTAATCAATTTCTCAGAACATAAACATTTGTTTTGCGGCAGTGCGAGGTGTGTGCGTTTAGGTTTATTTGGTTACCGGTATTTTAATATTCCTTAGAGATATTCATAGTATTGCATGTCTCCTAAAATATTCCTCATGGAACACTTATTTTCAGCATTAGATGGCATGGTAACCTTTCTGATAAAGTGTAAATTTGTACGATATCTTATAATTTTATGGACTTAAATAGTTTTGATTAACGGTATCTATTTGTATTTATATTCGCGTTCCAAAGGCACACAAGATTTGTTTCAGTTATTGCTGTAGAACAGATAGAAGAAAAAACGAATCGTAGAAAATATAATTCCTTGAATAATGGATCATCCTTTCATCACATGCATTTGCAAGTGCACGATGCTGTGTGTATATAAGAAGGTGGATACTTTAATTTTAGCACAAGAAAAGGCCTATGTCGCCCGAAGAAACACCAATTTTAAAATCAAAGACGTTAAGCGTCTGTTCCTGAAGGCCACGGCTAGTGTGACAACTGGAGACTGAGCTAAGGCATGTCAACACGTCATAGACAAGGTGGAGGATCGGTTTGGGGATGCAGGAAGATTGAATGAGGAAGTACCACCTGTCGTGATTTCGTTCGGGAGTGACAGCGAGTATGAGTGTGAGAGTGAGGATTTGGGCTACAATTTCAGTGGAGAGTGTGATAGTGAAAATGTTGTTGAGAATATTGATGGCGGTGGTGTTGCAAATGAAGATTCGAGTGATGATGATATAAATGTGTGTAGTGTATGAGATTGTGAGAACCCACCGTGAAGTGAATCGGATGCGATTGTGGATTGGGTGGGCTGTGATTTGTGAAAGGTGGATGCATGTGAAGGTACTGGGAAAGAGATTGATGTAAGCGCAAGTGTGGTGAAGTGTGTAGATTTTGTGCATAAATTGTATGACAGATAGCGTGAATGTAGGCCAGACAACTTCTGTATTATATATTGTATATAGTCGGGGAATTTTCTATGAATTTGTGTAAATAAATGATTTTTATAAAACAGTTTATTTTCCGTTTCTTGTTTAAAAGGTAGACTTGCAGAAATTGAATTAAGTTCAAGATGAATCAAAAAGAATAAATTAAATGTAAACCAAAAAAAACCACCCGTGATCTGAACTCACGCATTTATGCACCAAAGACTTGGTGCATAAATGTACCCTATACACCAAAGACTTGGGTTCACTTATTAGTGACCATAACCTTCTTAAACATTTTTATGCTGACGACTCTCAAATTATGTCTATATTCAAGCCTACACCAATGTCAGCTGCTTCAAGTGTTATGAACAAATTAAATTGTGGATGACAGCAAATAAATTAAAACTTAATGATGAGAAAACTGAAGCTTTACTTCTTGGTCCTGAATCTAGACGTGATCTATGCGGTATAACCAATGTCCATGTTGGCAACTTCTCTATTCCAATTTCAAATAGTTTAAGAAATCTTGGAGTGATGTTTGATAGCAATCTTAATATGGAAACCCACATCAACCATATATCTAAAGTGTGCTATCTCATTCTACGGAACATTGGGTGCATCAGGAA